ATTAAATGACACTCTTACAACGACCCATTTTGAAATTTAAGTGAATTGTGGAAACTTCAAATATATTTAATGGTCTCCTTGTATAGTTTTTCCTTGTCATAAATGACAGTTAAGCCCTAAAGGATAAGGTGGAAAATAGAAGTTTCAATGAAGGGTATATCGTTAAAAATGCGGTCACAGCCATCAAATGTCACACGTGCAAGTGGCTTGTCACCTGATTGGGATCGCTGACCTTGAGTCAAATACTTCCCCGATGAAAACGGACGGTCCAGATGACCTTAGGTGTGTGTGGAAGAATCTTAACAGTCCGATTAAATGTTATCGGAATTAAGAAATTCAGTATAAATAAAACCCGCCTTCCGCCCTTTTCTCCCGCTTCCTCATTCTCTTTTCATGCTTCTCACTCTCTCTCTCTAAAATCTCTCTCTCTATCTCCAAAGAACTCTGTAAGTCTTTTCCCTTCTCTCTCTATTGTCTTCTTTATCTGTTCCATCTAATTGCGAAGGTCACCTCACATTTTTCTCTCTTTTTCCCTCTCTAGAACTCACTCTCTTGAGTCTCTCCCTTCTCTCTCTATCCTCTCCTCTGCTCCTCAATTGCGAAGACCACCTCCCTATTTTCTATCATCTTCTCTCTCTAGATCTCATGAGCCTCTCCCTTCTCTCTCTATCCTATTATTTATCTGCTTCTCAATTTCGATTATCATACCACTGTTTTCTCTCTCTCCTCTCATTTGGAATATCAATTTGAGGAACGAGAAAGCAAAGATATGTAATTGAGGAACAAAAGGAGCCATTAGACCTTAAAAATGGAAGAAAGCTGAGAAAATTAAGAGAAAAAAATCAAGATTCAGAACAGATCGGGAGAATGTGCAGGGATTCGAAGAACCGAGATCGGCAAAGAGGCTCAAATCCTTAGAATTACCATCTTTTCTCAGAAAGAGTGCTCGGTAAAGGCGAAAGAGTCCTAGGATTTCTTTTTGAGAGGGCGGAATTAAAGAATTCCTGTTTTGAAAGTGAAAAAAAGGTGTACAGAAAGAAAGTTGCAGCTGAAGTGCGAGAAAAGGGCTGGATTTTTAAGGTAATATATGCATTGCCAAAATCTTTGGATATATTGATTTTCTCGGTAAATTTGCTGCGATGAAAGCCAAGAATTGTGCGATTTCTTCTAAGAATTCGAGAACTCGAGCTTTTGCAGAGTGAAAGGAGGTGTTGAGAGAGAAATTGCAGGTGAAGAGAGACAAGAGACCTGGATTTTCAGGTAATTTTTGCATTTTTTTTGTCGTTTCTTTTACTGTAAGATTCAATTTGACAGAATTTTCATGAAATTCAAAATACTGTTTCTTTCTCTGCAAGTAAGATAATTTATTATCTGAATTATTACTCTTCAACTTTTAACGATCGATTTCCTTTTTCTATTTCTTTTGACTTTCTAATACTATTTTTCAAATTAATTTCGAATTTCATAATCAATTTTTTGAAATTCGATGTAAATTTCTCGATAGAATAATTACTCTTAAAATGTATATAAATTTTTTTCCTTTTTTTTTAATATTTGACTAAGTAAGATATGGTTCGGTTTATTTATAAAAATTATTTCGATACTTAAATTTATTTTTTTTTCAAAAATTCTTTTAAGTTCAATATTTTATGTTCTAAAAAATAAGAAAAAAAGAAATTTTCAGATTGGAAGTGGCTTTCCAGGATGTAAGGGATCACGCTGACGTGGCATGAGCCTTCGGTTCCCACGTCCATTCGGATTTCAAGGGTATTTTTGGAATTATTGAGAACATGAGGGATATCGCGTTTTGGAAATAGGACTAAATTAGGGTGTAAAATTTTGATGCGATTCTAATTCAAAAGAACGGTGAATGATCAAATTTATTGGGATGGGACAGGACAGGTCATCAAGTTGGTTAGAGATTTAGTTCAATCAAAACAAGATAGATAGAATTATTCTATGTTTACAGGTTGCAACCTTAAAATGTAGAATTAAAGATGGAATTAAAAAATCCATCGGAAAAGTTCGTTTTAATGTTGAAAAACCTTCTAATTGATCATCCTGATGATATCGAGATATATGAACATGAAAAGAAAAAAAGATTTTGAGTCCTAAAAATAACATATCTTACAACACATTATGTTGGCATTCCATTTTCAATATTTTCATATGTTTGTAATTCTACTTGATTTTAATGATTTTTGAAGGTCAAAATTTTATAATTAGATATCAAAATAGATTTTCAAATAATCTTAAGAATTTTTTATGCCAAAATTATATGTTATGATAAAATTTGGTGGTACATCTTAATTCGATTGTTTAAGGTTGCAACTTTATAGAAACCACACCTATAGTTAGATGATATAGATGAGCAAAGAGTTTCTCAACTTTCTTTATTGTCGAACTGCTCAAAATGGGACGGTATAGCCAAAACTTTTAACTGACTTTCAACTAAATCAGGTTTTTGCTTAGAACTAGATCGAGCAGTTGTTTGGTCTTATGTCTATAACATCTATCCCGCGTTATTTTAAATGGAAATATTAACATAAAACCATCTAATTGTTCCATTATTCTCACAGGCAGCCCCTGTTTCGTATTGTCCAGAATCGGGGAATCGCCCTGTTTGTTCAAAGTTGGGCAGTGCAATATAGTAGTGATGCTACTGGAGTCGCTGTAGGGACACGGCGGACTCTTTAAGTTTTTTATTGTGAATAATTTTTGTTTTTCATGATACTTTTTGTGTCCTATTCTTCTTAATGGGAGAGCCGACGTCGGATTATGCAATCTGACTCGAATCGGTATTGATGGTCTGTGAATCTCCAGTAGATTCTTGTTTTCTGAACTTTTCTGAAAACTGATCGTGTGCTTTTAGATTCAAAACGCTTGTTTAGTAATTCTAATGGAATTTTCAGGATTATTAATTCACTCCATGAAAAAATAAACATGGACTTTGAAGAGGGGTAGCAAAAAGTTTATATAAGGTTGACACCTTTGTAGAATTAATATACACCTCAAAAGTGCATAAAAAAAAAAAGGTTTTTTTGTCATAAAAAATCATCTAATTGATCATCACGATATCAAGATGTATGAATATTGGTAAAAAAGAGACCTCAAGTCCCAAAAGCAATATATCTTGCAACATATTATTTGGACCGTCCATTTTCAATATTTTCATGTATTTATATCCCTGCTTGATTTCAATCATTTTTTTATCTTTAAAATTTTATAACTAGAGATAAAAATAGAATCGTGGGCCATCCTAAGAATTTAATCGCCAAAATTGCATCTTATGTTACAGTATAAAATTTGGAGGTGCCCCTGACTTTGATTGTTTAAGGTTTTGCAACCTTATACAAACCATACCATAGCAAAAATATTTCTCACAAATTCGGTTCGGTAGAAATGATAAAATTACTTGACAGCACCGGATAAATTCATTCCAAAAATCTAACCCCAGTTCTAATTGGTAAATAAATTTGAGTTTGGTATTTAAATTCCTTTTTCTTAATATTCTTACTATTCTAAATTTTTGAAATATCTGTATCTCTAAACTCAAAAATAATAATTTAAACCAAACAGTTAAAATATTATTTTTATTAAATTTAGATATCTTGAAGAACATTTTTCTCTCGATGCATAAGCCTAATTGTTTAAGCATTTTTTATGGAATATACAGAAGTAAAAAATAACCCTCTAGCCCTAAAGTTTGTCCCCCCACGAAACATAGAAAACGGAATTTGAGGGGTTTTCATAAGTTCCTCTTTGCTAAGGGCCCCTAGAGTTTGACCCATTGAAAAATTTTATAAGCAAACAGCGGTTAATATTTAACGATTATTCTTTAATTAATTATGCACACAAAATTGAGATAAATTAAATAGAAAAGGTTTGAACATGACTGCGACTTTAAAAGTTTGCTTCTGACGTCTCACCAGAAAGGATTGTTTTCACATTAGAAAAAGTTTATAGAAGGGTTGGGTCCTATTTAAACTTTATAATTAGTGATAGAAAATAAAATTTTAAGCTTTGAAAATAGCACATTTTATAATGCATTCTTTTGACGGTCAAGTTTTAAGATTTTTAAGTGTTCATAGATCTGATCGACCTACATTATTTTTAAAGTTTTAAACTTTTTAATTAGAGATAAATATAAATTATCAAACTGTCACAAATTTTTTTAATATTAAAATAACATATTTCGATGCTATTTGAAGGTACGCTTTATTTTGATCATTTAGAGCTTCAGCCTTATACAAACCCACCCTTTAGCGTATATTGAAAAGTCGCGTGTCACAAAAGTTGTTTAAGCAAAACCTCAGTATTGATAATCTTGACTTTAACAATTATAAATTTATAAAATATAGATTTCAAGTACTAAAAATAGTTTAATTTGGAATACATTATCTATAGCATCTATTTTGAAGTGCTCACAAAAATTTTAGATTTGTACAATTTGTAGAGTAAAAAATCCTTACCGTAGCCTCAAAACCTATCTCTACTTTTAGATGTGAATTTGAAGCTCTGAAATAATCGATGGAATATAAATGATTAAAATCTTAAAAACAGAAATGTGGAGATGACATGTTACAAAATACACTATTTTCAGGATTTAATTTTTTATTTTTATATATCCCCAAGTTGATATCTCTTATACCAACAGTAAATAATCTTGTTGTATACAACCTTATTTTTATTTAACAAAGCTACCTATTATAGAAACTTTTCTTTTTAATAATCACAGACAAAAGATTTCCAGGCCATTATTAGCATTTGCAGCATCAACATCAGATTCAGAACTGCATTTTCGGATTAGGTTTTGAAATGCCGCCTTACTTTTTATCACAAAGCCGCGGCCGTGGATTTACCTTGCCCGTTCCAGGAACACTCCCCTCCCCCTAAAATTAGTAGGGTTCCCCTGAAACCGCTGGTATTCTTCTTTCTCTCTCTCCAGTTTCTCCCTCTCTCTTGTTTTTCGGGGGAAGACAGATTTCTGCGTCCGTACGTGCTAAACGATGAGTTAGGCCAACCCAATTTTGTTGCGTTTCTTTTTAGCGTTTTCTCCTCCCTCCCACGGTTAGTTTCTGTCTCCATCTCTCTTCGAAGATTTTTGCTCTTTCTCTCTCTAAATTCAATGTTTGCTCCTCCCTTTAATGGTCGGTTTCTCTGCTCAAAACTTTTAAGACTCCACTCATAATTCCCTAAGATTGGTACATGTCCCTATAAAACCCGGTGTTCTCCAAGCCTTTTCATCTGCGAGCTCTCTCTCTCTCTCTCTCTTTCTCTCTCTAAAATCGACCTACGCGCCCCTACTCCTCTTAAAATAGGGGGGGTTCCTACAAAGCCGCCGAATTTCCAGTAGCATCCTTTCTGAAAACAGGTCGGATCTCTCTCTCTCACTCCCCTTCTTTCTCTCTCTTAAAATTAACGGATAGAAATGACCAGCCAATTCTCCAAAAGTAGAAGGCTGCAGCCCTATAAAACGGCTGCTCTTCCAGTGCAGCTCTCCTCTCGCTTATTCCTCTTGTTACAGTATTTCTTTCTCTCCCTGCAAAGCCACCATAGTTTTCCTTTCCTACTGCCGGTCATTTCTCTCTCTAGAAATCGGCTGGTGTTCCCGTAGTATCGTACTGTCTCTCTCACGGGCGTCTCCCTCCTTTTTCTCTCTCTTTGCGCTTAAACTGGTCTTCTCAGTGTCTCTCTCTCCTAGTAACGGGTTACGTCCTGTACCCATTAGGACTTCTCTCTCTCTCTCTAACCCAGTAAGTGTATTTCTCTCTACCGGTAGCGTCTTTTTCTCTCATCGTTATATAACCCGCACACATATGTGTGTGTGACATAGGGTGGTCTCCTGTTTAACCGCCTGCTTTCTAGTAGCTTCTCTCCACAAGCCCGTCCTCTACCACTCTCTCTACCAGTAACAACCCTCACGACATAGAGCGCACTCCTATATAACCGATTCTCCCATATCCTTCTCGCACTCTCTCTCTCTCTACACTACCAGTGGATCTCTCTTTAAACCCTCTCTAGTCCAGCACCATCTTCTCTAAAAGCCTTCTCTCTCTCTCCCCCATGGATCTCTCCTCTCTATTCTAGGACCATCTCCTCTACCAGTATTCTCTCTCTATTTCTCCAATTGAAACCCTCGAATCTTTGTAAGAGACATATCTCTAATATAAGAGAATAAGTGCACTCCCTTCTGGATTAAAAGGCCATATCCAGTAGCATCTCTCTCTACAAGTCTCTAATATTATAAGAGAACAAGCATTCTCTCTTACAGTTCTCTCTCTAAAAGCCTGTCTAGTTTTCTAAACTTGGATCTTCCCCACTAACCCCAAGGCTTAACTTGTTTATTGCGATGTTTGATATCCAGCACCACCATCACCAGCCGCAGCCCCAGCGCCGCCGCCGCGACGACACGGCCACCGCCATGATGGCCGCAGCGCCGTCCTCGTCCTCGTCCTCCTCCTCCGTCCCATGCAACTCGCCGTGCGCCGCGTGCAAGTTCCTGCGCCGCAAGTGCACCCCGGAGTGCGTCTTTGCTCCGTACTTTCCCCCGGACCAGCCCCAGAAGTTTGCCAATGTCCACAAGGTCTTCGGGGCCTCAAATGTCACAAAGCTCCTCAACGACTTGCACCCCGCCCAGCGGGAGGATGCTGTCAACTCCCTCGCGTATGAGGCTGAGGCGAGGCTCCGAGACCCTGTGTATGGCTGCGTCGGCGTGATATCGATGCTCCAGATACAGCTGAAGCAGCTGCAGGGGGATCTGGTGAGGGCGAGGGCCGAGCTCTCGAAGTATATCAACGCGGGGCTGGCGGCCGCAGTGGCACAGCAGCAGCACTTGCAGCAGCACGGATTGGTAGGGTTGAGGGGTGCGGTTTATGATGGGCATAATGGGGGGTATGAAGGGGGGATTGTAGCGGTGGGGTTGGGTGGTGGTGGTGGGGGTTTGGGGCCATTGAATCAGTTTGGAGGAGGGGTGGGGAGGGGGGAGGAGAGGGGGGGGCGGAGATGGTGTAGGGACTGGGTTCGGCGGCGGATCCTAGTGAGGTATGTGCTTCTCTCTCTCTCTCTCTCTCTCTCTCTAACACTATCTCTACATCCTCAATTCTATCCCCCAAAATCTATGTCTATGGCTTTATGGCTTCAATCTAGTTTTGCTCTCGGTCTTGCACTCATACTATTTGGTGCTCTTTCACCTTTGGAAAATGGAACCATCTTTCTCTCTCGCTCTTTGGGTTCTGGCTTCTTCTATCTCTTTAGACTGTCGCTCTCCCTCTAAACATCTTACCCTATAATTTTGTCTTGGGTCGTTCTGTGACTCTCTCTCTCTCTCACACACAACACACCCTTCCTATGATCTTTTGTTTTTCCCTTGTTGTTCTATGGGACTCTCTCTCACTCTCAACTTTCTATATTTGGACATTTCTTCTCTGTATGTGAGCATAGTTGCACTTCATCCCATTTTTTCAGAGGAGTTCAAAATTCTCGCCGTTTACGAATTTATTAGCACTTCTCCCCCCCCTTAGCACTCTTTCTACCTGCTCTCTTTCGGTCTCTTTCAATCTCACTCAAGTCCGCCGATTTGGGTCTCTCTCTCTCATATTCCCATCTTTCGGGCTATCTCACACAAGTCTGTCGATTTGGGTCGCTCTCTTTCTCTCTCCCTACGCTATATCTGTCTCTTCAGGTCTCTCTCCTATTACACAACTCCTACCCCGCATGTCATTTACCTGTAATTCTCTCTCTATATATCTCTCTCTCTCTACCACTTCTAAACCTACCTTTCTCTCTCGCTCTCACTCTCTCTCTCTCTTACTCTCTCTCACTGCACAAATTCATTCGCATTTTCACCAACCGCCTTCGATCTCAACTCATTTGCGATATTCTCTCTCTATGATTGTAGCTCAATTATCTGATATTTCCTTTCCTCTTTTCACTTTGATTTCATCGTAAAAAAATCACAAGAGAGATTGAAAAGGGATCCTCTCCTTTTTGTCTTGAGTACCAATCAAGAACTCCGCCAAGTCAGAATGTGGGTTTTTTTTTCTTTTTTTATTTCCGAAAAAAAGAAGAGAAAAAGAATGTGGGTTTTCCCAATGGGTGTTATTTTAAAGTAAAATATTTTTAAATGACATTAAAATAAGAAGATACACTTATTTCAGATAAAACGGCAAAGAATTAAAAAATAAATAAATCGCATTGCCTTCAGCTTATTTATTAATATTTTCCTGTTACAAAATCAGTTCCTGGTTGCTATTGCAGCTAATATTTAAAAAAATTAAGATTAGTTTATATTGATCATGGCGTGGATTTATAGAGTGAGATTAAGATGAGATTTACTAAATTATAAATAATTCAAGTTCCTGGAATATAATATCTAAACCAGAGTAGAAAGCCGGCAAGATCCTAGAGAAGACTTTTAATTTTTGTATTGCAAAAATATATGCTGAAGTCTTCGAGGTATTTTATCTAAAAAATATTCCAGTTTGATGGAAACTCTCAGTTACAGAGGATCAATGCTGTTATTTAATAAAAAAATATATTTCTTGACTCTCTCTCTCTACCTTAAGGCCTTCAATTTTTCCACTTTGTTGCCTATTTTCATCCATTTCATGCCAGTTAGGGGGCTCATATCAATCGGCCCCAAAACCCCAATCCTGTCTCTCTCTTTAAACCCTAAAGCCTTCATTTTTTCCATTTCATAGATTTTTCCCTTCAATTCATATTAGAGAAGGGCTCATTTCAACCCCCAAAAGCCGAATATTTCTTTCTCTCTCTCAATTGTGAAATTGTCAAAGAGGTTCCAGCCTTGATTTCTTGCCTCCTTTTGTCGACTGATCTCTGTTCCCTTACATTTTTGGATTTACTGCTTTTCTTGGATTATTTCCTTTTTTTATTTCTTTGGACAAATTTAAACTCACTTTTTCGTGGAAACTGCATTTTTTTGAAATTTTCTTTTCAAAAAGCTAATCATTTCGTGTGTATTTGAATAATTAAGAAATTTATGACACCAGATCTGATAGATCGTATCCGAAATTATTTGTTCTTTCTTTTGCTATGCTTCTTGATAATTTGGAGCCGTAAATTTAGCAACAATTCAAAATTGATTTTCTTTCTTTCTTTCTCTCTATTTTTTCTTTCAAAATCTCAGTTAACATATCTGTGTTACAGTCGGTACCGTAGGAGATAAAACTCAAGGGCTCTTTTTCCTCTATCGCTCACTCTCTCCATTCTTGTGGGGTCACTTCTGTATCTTTCTGTTTTATCTTCACTACCCAACAGCAAGTGACAATCAATGTTTCTTTCTACTTCTTGAAATATTTACCATATTACATTCTTAATCTTTCTGTTTTGTTTCTTTCTAGTTTCTACCGACTATTTATTGTATTTCTTTACTGTATTGTAGATTTCACACCTCTCTCTCTCTCTCTCCATTCTTGTTGGGTGGCTTCTGGTTTCTGTATCTCTCTGTTTTTTATGCTCAGTACATAATAGCAACTAAATGTCAAGTTCTCTCTCTCTCTCTCTCTCTATTCTTGTTGGGTGGCTTCTGTATGTCTGTTTTTTATGCTCAGTGCACAATAGCAACCAAAAATCAAGTTTCTTTCTATTTACTGCATTCCTTGACTATATCATAACGTTCCTTATTATATGTTACAGATTTCACCTCTCTTCCCCCTCCCCCTAATCCTATACTTACTGTATTCCTTTACTATATCATAGAGTTCTTTACTATGCTATGGATTTCACCTCTCTCTCTCTCTTCCTCTCTCTAGGTCTTTATCTCTCTGCAATCATTGGCTCTTATCACCTTTTCTGCATCCTGCATTTTTAGCAAACTTTGAATTAATGTTTTTATTGGGGTTGCAGGTTCCTCTGGTTAAACATATATCTGGCCTACAACTACAAGTGACTTCCTCCCCACTTTCTTTATTATCCCTCTTTTCTCTTTTAAGAGTTATTGTTATTAGCTTTAGCTTTTGTTTTCTCTTGTCATCCTTTTCATTTAGTGGAACGACATTGTTTCCCATTTGTTTTCTTTCAAGTGCTGCAGTTGTGGATGTGGTAGCAATTAATTCATCGGAATTTCATATCGGTGTATCTCTCTTTGTTGCATCTAATTTTCCTGCAATTTATTAGCTCAATTA